TACGTAGTATCCTGTATGCAAGGTGATGTATCAATTAGAAGGGCTTTTGGCAAACTCTTAGACTATTGAAAGAGAGGCCACTGGCAAGGTGTGTCAGCCCTCATTAGTGGATGGACTGCTCTCTGTTCCCCAGGCTTTCTGGCTCACTTAGACCACAAAATGTTCATTCTTTGGAGATACGTGTGCTTGTGGGTCTCTAGATATGTTTTCTTGTTAACAATACAGAGCGTGTCAAAACTATTTGCAGGAAGGATTTTTACCTTGCTATGCTGAATATCACATTGTCTATGTGGAAACAGCTTTTAAAACCTTCCTGTTAAAGTGTACCATACTCAGAGGATCATCCCTTGGGTCAGGTTACTTCACTGGGAAGTGCTTTGCTAAACAGGTTTAGGTTATCACTTCCATAGACTGTCAGAAGAGTCTCATTAACACATGTAAACTGCTGACAATAAAAGCTTATAATTCTAGGTCCACAAAGATATCCAGTCAAACCAAAGGATTTTATTCAGGAAATTCTCCTTTAAGTAGGATAAATCAAGGACTTCAGTTATAGAAAGGACAGACAAACATGGTTAGCAAGTGAGCAAATAGAGACCAAGGTCGCTCAAAATTAATAAAAGGGTAATTACTCAGTTGCCTAGCAACCACATACCTGTTTAAAGGGGGACAGTGCTCTCTCTCCTGATATATTTACCTAAAGTGCTCAGTTCCTTCACCTTAAGTAAGAATGAAGCAAACATTTCTATCTTTAAAAACCTAGATACCGAAGCCTGCCCCACACTTGTCTTTTAGAAGGAAATAACCACCTGGGTTAGAACAAAAGAAGAGAACATTACACCGATTGGAACTGAGCCTTACCCAAATATCCTTACCGGCCAATTGGATATTGCTTCTTGATAAAATATATCGATAAAGATTCTGATAGAAACCATACAATTTGTAGTACATATAAACATCACCCTGCATAGAAGAAGGAAATTTACTATGAATTTACTGGGATATTGATAAACAACATGAACATTCCCCCTCCAAAGCAGACAATAGTACACAAAACACTGACGGCAACTGAAAGCTTCTTTTTAGAAAGTAGAAACTACAAACTCAAAAAGAAAAAAAAAAACAAAGTAAAAAACAAAACAAAAAGTGAGACGAGTTCTCTCTGTGTAGCCTCTGGCTTGCTGGGTTTAAAGGCAGGCACCACTATGTCCAGCTTAGGCTGTGTGTTTTCAATACATTAACTTCAGGTTTACAAATATCGTTTCTTTTTGGTAGTACCAGGAAAAATGCTTTGCACCGCACCTTCTAAAGTTTTAAATATACTATTCACAAGATTTCAATGCCTAGATATTTTTCCCTGGTGAAACCCAAATTCCTTTTTTGGGTCCCTGGTCAATCTAAAACAGTCGAAACAACAGCAGCATGGGTGTAAGCTTTCCCAGCAGCTTCTTTGGTGTGGTAACTCCAGACACAGAAGTGGTTCTCAACCTGTGGCTCACCGACCCCTTCAAGGGTCAATTCTTTCACAGGGGTCGCCTAAGACGTTCAGATTGCAAAATCACAATAGCAAGGGAAATAGTTTTATGGTTGGGGGTCACATGAGAAACTGTATTAAAGGGTCGCAGCATTAGGAAGCTGGAGACTTGAGTGGCTGACAGGATTTGAGAAACGAAAAGTCCAACAACATCCCGGTGATTTTCCCAATAAGAGTGGGGTGTATGTATGGCTTGCCTAAGAGCGAGCTGCTGCTCATCCAATATCTTCTAGTGCTCTTAGTGGGGCAGCAGGCAAAGGCTAACGACCTTGTATGTGAGGAACGGGCTGTGTAGTAAGATGTTGCTGGAGACTGTGTTGTCTTGCAGTATATTTATACTATGATGGGATGCAGGAGTAGTCACAGTAGCCGCCACTGTAGGATTGGGACCCCTTGTCTGTGATGATGTGTTAAAGCCTGTGAGGAATCTAGTCTCATTGTACTAAATGGTAGTCTGGGAGCCATCGGGTAGATAGCATTATTGTGCTTATTTAGGGATGGATGGGGTCTGGTGTGTTGAGTGTCTCAATAGTAACTTGGTTTTAGTTGAACCACCTCATTAGAAGGATTGTATGGGGGGTGGTTCTGAGTTTGTGGGATCGTTGTCAGGGAGTGACCAGAAGGAGGTGCTGCCTGGATGAGTTGACTGTGGGTTGTGTATACTGCTGAGTAGATGGACCTGTGTTTATCCTTGTACCGCGCCAAAGCTGCAGGCAGTGGTTTGGTGGTGAGCTCTGTTTTTCGTTTCAGAAGCTGCTTTAATGCCTTCCTTTGGGGAGGACAAACATAACAGCAACATTTTGTGTATAGCCTTTCCGTAAGCTCCCAAAGCCTTGCAGTTTCAAAGTAAATCTAGGTGATGTAACTTGAAACTGAAGTCACTGAGCATGCGCAGGTGAGTGTGCACGTTTGGCCGGTGGAAGCTCCCTGCAGCTCGGGCTCTGGGAAAGCTTAGCTGCAAGTTCTGTGCTTTTTCCAAAGACACAGACAGATGTGAATTGATACTAGGTTTTATCTTTGGAATTTTTTTTTCTTCCTTCGAAAATTTAATTATCCTGAGTCTTCAAGAAGGAAAGAGGAATTCAGAAGTTAGGACGGATTGCAAGGGCTAAGAGACTCTGGGTAAGGACTAGAGAGAGGAAGGTCGTGGGCGCAGTATTTCGGAAGACTGGTCAGTAGGCTGACAGGAAAGCTTATGACATGTGCAGTATCTCACAGGACTCTCCTGAGGAGAGCCTACCTTAGTAACCCCTCATGAGATCAGTCCCTGTCTCATAAGAACCCCTGGAGCCCTGGCCTTTGTGCAGAATGGCTTCAGAGCGCAGAACTAGGGTCACCTTCAGCTTCGATCTCAGCAATAATTACTGAGAAGGGATTTTTTTTTTTTATGGCTCCATGATCTTACCTAGCCATCAAGACTTAAATGAGAAATGTATCTTATTCTGCTTCCCAAAGATATTTCAAAGGCATATCCTGGGCTCTGCAGTCTGAACCTCTTCACTTCGTCCTCAGACCCCCTCCCCCTCCCCCTTCCCCTACCCGCCTTGCCACATACCCGGTCCCCTCCTTTCCTTCAGAATGTTACTGAAGGAACCCAGGTACAGGCTGGTCTTCTCTCCGTGTCCCCACTGAGCAACCCACTTTAGGGCTGCTTACAACTCAGCTGGTCCCAAACCCAAGTCATTTTCATCTTCTGAAACCGACATACTTCTCCCCTGGATCCCTCTTTCCTAAAAGTCCAAGTGGGCAGTTCTCCTTGTGAGGAGTTCCAGGAAGGTTCTTCACTGAATCTCCTAGGACTGGTAGTAACTTGGGAGTTTAACTAGCCCAACAACAGGGGCTACTTCCCTTTACATTTCTTGGCGTTCCTCCCACTACCAGAGGGCCAGGCTGAGATCCTCTTTGGGACTGAATGACTACGCTGTTATAAGATGACTTGGGGCTGGTGAATCCAACTGCCTGGTGAGTGACACTAACTTAACGTGTGACCTTGCCCAAGTCACAAAGCTTCTCAGTCCAGTAACATTTTCACTTCGTGGAACAAGTTCTACAGCCCTGCCCACGCAGATATTTATGATAGAACCCGAGTGGCTGATCACACAAATTATATTGGAAAGTTAAGAATTCTCAAGTTTAGAAACAGAAAAAAAGCAAGGACAACAAAGGCATGCTGAGAATGTAGCATCATGGGTTCAAGACTCACCCTTTCTACCTCTCTATTTCTTGTGTTTTTTCAGGTTTTGGAAAGAATGTATGCGGAGGTACATGACATGAGCATGACGCTGATTGAACTCACCTCCATTTTCTCCGGAAGATAAAAGGGAAGAGAACAGTTGCATGCTTTGTCAAAATTAGAACTATTTTCCCGTAGCTGAGCGCAATTTGCACATGTGTTCGTGTAATTTATCTGTCAGGCATCGAAAAACAATAGTTCACTTAAAGGTTATATGAGTCCACATCTTAAAATTCAATGCCCAAGCCTCCCCCCAATTTCTTTTTCTTTTCTTTTTTCTTTTTTCTTTTGGAGATGTGACATAGATAAAGGCCAGTCTGCTTCGAAGGTGAGCTTTTCTGGGGTACTTGGAAGGAAGCCTTCTCACAGTCTCTCATTTGGTTGCCTGAAGGCATTTTTCACTGGCCTGGAACTCCATGTGTCTGTGGCACACTTACGTGATCTTCTGGGGTAATGTTGCTGTCCTTAGTCATAGGAACGGCTACTAGGAAGGTATTAGTCAAGGGTTTGTGAAAACTGTGCCCACAGCCCGAGTCTAATCACCTTCACAGGGAACTCATTCTCTATTTTTCCATTTTATTGTATGGAAAATATTCATATTAATTATTTTACATGTCCTCTGAAAGAAGTTACTAAAAGTGACCACATGGGATAGCAAATATTTCCAAACTATATTATTGATGTATGTGGAAAAGTTCCCAGCTCGAGAAGGTGCTGTGTTCTGCTTTTTTGAAAGTTAACTTCTCTGAAAAACTGTGTAATAATTTTTTTTTAAAAAAGAGTCACGTGTCCCAAGTGAGTGACTCCTGTGTGCTCTGGCAAAGCAGCCAGAAGTCAGTTCTGGGAGGATGCAGCCGGAAGAGAGTGGGAAAGGAGGCTCAGAGAAAAGGGCCTCTGGGGATGCATGCTCCCCAATCCTGTGGGCAGATTCTTCTTCCCTGCCTGTGATGAAGAGTAATGAGAGAATTCTGGGAGCATGGAAGCTCAGAGGAGCAAGTGCGTGGCTTTCTCTTTGGCAAGGTGCCAATAGGATGAAGGATTCTTTTGAAGAGAAAACTAACAGGAAAGGGGAGAAATATTGAATCTTGCAGAGACCCTGAAGGAGTTGAAGCTGAAAGTGAAGTGTAAATTCACTAATCGCCATTTTATATATATATATATATATATATATATATATATATATATATATATATGGCTTGAATGATTACTTTGATAATATTTATGCTTCTTCTGGCTGTAGACTATACTTTAATTTATAAAGAGCATTGGGGAACAGGACAGTATGCCAGTCAAGAGCCAGCACAGACAGCATACTGAACCGAGCCAAGGGAACTGAGGCGCCAGTGTGGCCAGAATCCTCTTTTGACTGGAGTATTATATTTGACCTCCAGTGTCTACATTTTGATCACCAGTATATTTCACATAACAGTTTGTCTACAAGTGATGTCACATTGGAAGTGCACATACATGAGAGAACATGAGTGCACATAGATGATGGAAGTGAGAACATAGATTCCATTTTGAGCTGTGGAAAGAGAACTAGAAGAAATGTTTCATGAGCGTACACGTTTTGATTAGATGGTATCTCTGTTGCTTTCTACCTTTAAGAACATAGGTGAGAAATGCATACCCCTCATATACCATGAATGTAATCACAGGATTTTCAATTCAGTGTTCAACTGAACTTGTAAATCTATAGATAAAAAGACACAACAAAGACTGAAATCTGCTATTATAGAATTTTAGAGGCGGGTGTCCTTTGTACTTAACGTGACTTGTAAAGAGTGATTCCTTGTGATCTGGGGCTAAATGAGAAAAGGGAAGGCCAGCCTTGACATCTTCTCTACTAGGTAAGGGCTTGGTCACCCTGGTTTGAGGTGTTCAGTTTATCTTATCTCTTGGTGAAATTAAAAAAAAAAAAAAACAAAAGCAAAAAAATTTCTATGTGCAAATGGAGATTTACCCTCTGGATGTTGTTGGTTCCCTGATAAAGTATTAGAGGCAACCCTGTCTGAAACACACACACAAAACGATCAAACAGACTTACTGGGGAATACCCTATAATGTCATGGGATAAAAGCATTTTGTTAAGAGTCATTTTAAAGACTGGCCTTAGTCAACAGCCAGTGATGGATGGGGTCGTTGTCTCATGCACAAGGTAACATAATTCAGCAATGACTGCTTCTTAGTGAAGATTGCAGAGGAAGAAAGATATGGAAAAAAAACAGATGGAGAAGCAAATAAAATGAGCTGTTTTTAAAATGAAAATCAATCTTGCTTGCAAACACATTGCTTTGATAATCACTCATCCCGTTCAGCATAGGCAAGTTTCACAGATTCGAATGGAACTCGCCATACAGAACAAGCTGTCCTTGAACTCACGAAAACCTAGCTGCAGCTGCATCCCAAGTTCAAGGATTAAGGGTTTGTGATTAAGGGTTTGAGAGGCGGGTTAATTAGTTGGATGAAAATGAGATTTTTATATCTTCACCACTGTGAATTAATATAGCCAGTATGGAAAACAGTATAGAAACTCTTCAAAAAGGTAGGTCTGTCTGTCCATCTCACTGAGTATATAGCTGAAGAAAATGAAATGAGCACATTAAAAAGATATCTATATTTTTTGCTGTCCTATTCATAATATTATGGAATCAATCTCATTGTCCACTGACAGATGAATAAAATGATGTAATATGTCTACAGTGGAACATTATTTGGTCATAAAGACAAAAGCTTGTCATTTGCATCAAGATGAATGGATACAGAGATTAGGACAACAGATATTGCATGGTCTTACTTATATAACAAATCTTAAACGGTTCATCCGCAGGCAGAATAGTTCATAAGCCAAAGGCCAGGAAGGGCAGTGGGAGGAGGAATGTAGCTGGACCATGCAAACCGAACACAGAAAGATCAGTCCTTGTGCTGCACAGCAGAGCATGTGTCTGGCTCACAGTAACTTCCTATATACTTCATGAACGTGTAGGAGAGAGGAACTAGAATGTAGTCATAAGGAAGTGGCAAGGAGAGCAAAATCATAGTTCCCTTGATCTGCTCGTGTGTGTGTGTGTGTGTGTACTAAAAAAAATCACTGTGCCCAGTAAAGTACTACAATCATGACATGTTAATTTCACAAGAATAACATTTAAAAATGCACATGCTTTTAAGAATCCAAGATCTTTATTTTTGGCTGGCTCTGTGCTCTGTGTGCTATAACGTAATCTGTAGGATTACTGAGGTCTGACAGTCTTTTGAATTCGCCTCTTCCTTCATTTGTTTGCTGCATCCTCACTTCTTTAAGGTCACCTGACTTGGCCAGTCTCTCATACATAAACGTGGCCAGAGATGACCAACATGACAGTAGGAATGAGTGAAGTCACCACCGGGGGCCCCTCTCATCGGTATCCCTGCCAGCTCAAAGTTGGTTGGATCCAGTCATATCTAGTTTCCTGTTGAGGGGCTATGTTCTTAAAGTGACTGCTCCTATTTATAGTCCCAACGTGAAAACTGTTGGAAATTAAACATACAACACAGAACAAACCTCAATTTCCTTGGTGCTCTTTGCAGAAATCAGAAGGATGATGCCCATAGAGAGGCAGAATCCTCCTGTGGTGAAAAAGATAGAGAGGACCACCGAGGCAGATAGATTTAGCTGCTGGGTGGGCAATGTTTGCTGCTTCAGTGCTGTGTTTTCTGGCAGTCTGGACAGGTCATACTGGGGTATCACCTCCATTTTGGTCCTGTGGGTAACTCACAGACCTTGAGGACATTAGAACATTCATACTTACAGTAAGATCGCATAATGCTAATGGTACATGAAGAATTACATGAAGTTGTGAATTCACTTTTGCTTTCTGTTCTTGTTCTCTAAGCAGACCTGTATGTACAGGAAGCACAGCTCTCTCCAGGCACTGCTGGGTATATTTTATTTAGGCTCAGAAAGTCTGCCATGCTAAAATGCCATGCCTATAAATGTTCTCTTCCTCAAAGTCTATAAAAACCAACATCTGCTTCCATTCAGAAGCAGTTCTTATGACTTGTTTCAGAAATTTGTTGAATATGTCAAAGCAAAACCTTCTCAAATTCATCTTTAGAAACTTGTGTAATTACTTTTGTCATTATTACAATCAAAGTTAGGGCTATTCACTTATATCCCCAAATATACCTATAGTCTAACAGGAATATAAACTAAATTGGGGAAACGCTCAGAAATTACAGCTAGCTTTGCCATTTTCGATGATACAGAAACAAACAAACAAACAGATTTGGAGAATATATGTGCATGTACTTAATTAATTTCAACAGCTTTCTTATTTTGTTTTGTTTTCATACATAAAACCCAGGCAGAACTTGTAGATTGTAACATCTCATTTTGCAGCTGGAGAGATGGCTTAGTGTTTAAGAACACTGGTTGCTTTTCCTGAGGACCCAGGTTTGATTCCCAGCACCCATAGTGTGGTTCACAGCTGTCTGTAATTCCAGTACCAGGGGATCCAATGCCCACTTCTGGCCTCCATGGGCACTACATGCACATGGTGCACAGACATTTATTCAGGCAAAATATTCATACAAGATAAAATAAAAATAAAAATCTTGAAATAAAAAGGCTCTCTTAAATCTACTCGTCAGAGGTTAGTGAAGTATCAGATATTCAGCCTTGCCATACAGCAAGCATTAGCTCTGGTTTGAGGGTTTTCTGCTTTCGCTGTAAATAATCTATAATTATTCATTTAAAGAATGCCAGAGGATAGAGACTAAGAATTTTATAAAGTAGGCAGAGAAGCCATGGTGTGTGTGTGTGTGTGTGTGTGTGTGTGTGTGTGTGTGTGTGTGTGTATGAAAGAAGGCAATGACAAATGTACCTGATTTAAAAGAATATCAAGAGAATACAAACACATACAGTAGTAGGTTTCCAATTCAGAATCAACCTTTATACTTGCAAAACAAGCAAAACAAAAGCAAATTACTCGTGGAAGAGTTCTGGTGTGCTATCTGAATCTGACCTGCCAGTGCTGACAGCCATGCTGTGGCTGCCCACTGTGTGAGACATCACTGTGTGAGACGTCAGGGAACAGTGGCGATCACCATCTACAAGCTGTTTTGCTAAGTGAGCCTGGCTAAGGGCTTGGGTTTAAAGGGCAGCAATAGACCAGAGATTAGATTGTGTGTGTAAAACTGTCTCACAAGGCATCAGGCACGTTTGCGACTTAAGTTCCTGCTCCAATGCTGGAACAGTTAGTGCTCAGTAAAAGATATCTCTATAACGAACCATTAAGAAGAGTCTTTCTTAGCCTTCTTTATAAAACAAGGTCGAAAGCTACAAAGTTTCACAGGCAGTGTGTTAATCCTGGCTCTCCAAGAAAGCAAATCTCTGGATACATAAAAAAGTATTATAAGGAATGGTCTCACACAAGTATAGAGGCTAAGTCCCAATCTGCCGAGTCCAGCCTGTGTCCCAGTTGAGTTCTGAAGACCAAGAGACTGGTATAACCTTAGGAAAAGCCAGTTTTTCAGTTAGAATTCTGTTATTGGGAGAAAGGGAGGGGGCAGCCTTTCTGTTCAGGTCTTTAAAGGAGGGGATGACTCTCACTCAGATCATGAAGGGCGTTATGTTTTAATTAAATCCATTGATTTACATGTTACTCTTTTCATAGACAACCACACAGAATAGTGTCTTACCAATTCTCTGGCACTATGTGATACCAAAAGACATATTAAAATAAATCATTGTAGGCAGTAAATGCAAACATTACTGGGGCAGTATTCTTTTTTTTTTTTGAAGAGACATTTCTTCTTTTATTGGATATTTTATTTACATTTCAGATATAATCCCCTTTTCCCATCCCCCCCGGAACCCCCTATCCCATCCCCCCTCCTCCTGCTTCTGTGAGGTTATGCCCCCACCCATCCTCCTACTCCCATCTCCTGGCACAGTATTCTTAAGAGAGATAACCAGATACACCTTTTATATCTACCTTTTTACAAAACTTTTGATTTTTTTATCATTTTTTTTCACATCATATAGTTTGATCATTTTGTTTCCTCCCCCCACTCCTCCCCACCACCCTAACTATCCAGCCTCATATTCTCTCAAAAAACAAAACGAATAATGAAAAACAAAAATTAAAGCAAAAATCTAAGAGACAAAAAACAGCAAAATGAAACAAAAAAACCTACAAAACAATAACAAAATAAAACAAATCTGCCCCAAACTCCAGAGTCTGTTTGGTGTTGGCCCACTAAGTATTCCTGGACATGGGGCTTTCCATGAAGTATAGTTGATATACCACAGGATACTCCAAGGGAAAAAACTGATTTTCCTTTTCCAGGAGGTATCAATTGCGAATAGCTTCTTGGTCAGGGGGTGGGATTTTGTGCTCATGTTCCTTCTCAGTGCTGGGATTGTCTGGTGTGAACTTGTTCAGGTCAGGCTCTCTGAGTTCATTTGTGTTTCTCTCCTGTCATGCCTAGAAGATGCTGCTTCCTTGGAGACATCCACCACCTCTGGCTCTTACAATCTTTCTGCCTCCTTTTCCCCATAAATAGATCCCTGAGCTTCCAGGGGAGGGGTTGATATCTCACTTAGGACTGAGTGCTCCAAAGTCTCTCGAATATTGTCCAATTGTGGGTCTCTGCATCTATTGCGAAAACAATCTTCTCTGATGAGGGCTGAGTGAGGCGTGATCTATGGGTCTAGCAGTATGTTATTAGGCGTGACTTTATTGCTATGCTCCTTTAGAAGAACAATAGTAGTAGATTTCCCCCTAGGGCCATGATCTACCTAGTCTTAGGTTGTTGGTCACTTCAGCAGTTTCCAGTACCGGTTCTATCTCATGGAGTGAGCCTCAAATCTGACTCTATGCAACACAACTTATGCTTGAAAATACACTTTCAAATATGCTTTGTTTCTTAATAAAGAAGGTTCCTCAACAACAATACTATTGACAATTTGTTATCTGTTGCATGGCACAGAATATTTAGCTCCATCCCTGACTTCTACCAGCTAAGTGTCAGTCCCACCTCCCAGTGGATGTCAACAGTAGCCTGCTACCCAAAGTGTGCAGCTAAACATAATTTAAGCATTGCAAAGTGCCCTAAGGGGAAATGCCTCTGCTCAAGAACCATCATTCTAGTCTAATACCTATTTGTTAGTAGTGGTGGTATCATTAGACATTTTTTCGAGATGGTTTCTCTATGAAATCATGGCTATCCTGGAACTCAATTTGTAGACTAGGTCCTGGCTATCCTGGAATTCGATTTTTAGACCAAGTTGTCCCTGGAACTCAGAGATTCACTTGACTCTGCCTTCCCAATGCTGGGATTAAAGCTGTATGCCACCACACCCAACTTGAGGGATTTTCTTAAACCTTTGCTTTTATTTTTCTGTAACCATGGTGTAATCTTCTGGTATGTACACTATTTATGAGGAGACGTGAACACATATCTACTCACTGGAGACAGGGAACCAATGGCCAACCAAAGTAATGATTCCAATGCACTGTAGCTTATTGAATCAACGACCTATCTGTTTTACTTGCAGGATGATGAGGTTACTGGTCCCAAACTGTCAGCTCCTTGCTGGCAGGTCCAGGCGAGAGGAGAGTGGTCCCTGGCACCAAGTCTCTCCGAGGCTGACTGGGATGCTGAGTGTAGACGGCCCAAAAGAAACACACTGAGCCAGGAGTCTTGTAAAAGCAGGAACTCAACTTTATTGCATCACTCTCTTGTTATATAAACTTGGAGCATAGGGAGGGGGATTTTTGCTGGGGTGAGATGACTTAGGAGGTGGGAAAGTGTGATGAAGGGTATGGGGTGACTGACAGCACCAATGGCAAAACTCTATGTTAGCAATGGTGGGACAGGGCCAAACAGGTTTTGCTGAGTCACCCCAGTACAGAAGTGACTGAGACAGGTCTCAAAACCTGAGCCAGGCTCGAGTTTGTCCACAAGGGCCAAACCAAGGCCAAAATGGGGACTGACATCAAATAGCCACATTGCTTAAGTCAACTCTGTCATAGTTGCATATGTGGAGTGCACTCTTCAGGAACTGGTCTACTTGCTATGTTAGTAACTCCTAAAACCACACTAAGTTGGGGCAGAATTACATACAGGTGGGGGTAGAGCACGGAAAGAAGGAATCTTAATTGATGGTCTAATGACTCTTCAAGTTCCTATTCTATGCAGGAAGGTCAACAGTCAGCACAGATGTTCTGGTGAAGATTGCAATGTCTGCTAATGTTGAAGGACTTCACAGTACCTACTTGGCAATACCACACACATTACATGTTTGGAATGCCTTACGTCTAACTCTCTATCATTACCTGCAGGGATGCAAATACAGTAAACATCAGTGTAGAGTCAGGATGTGGTTATGGTGGGAGCTCACAGTATTCACAATGGTCTCAGTGTTAAGGGCAAATTAGTGGATTGTTCTGAATTTTGACAGACTTGGATCTGCAATGTCTCCATATGAAATTATGTCTAGTATATATTTTTCTACATTATCTCAGATATGCCACTTGACAAAAGGTTACACATCTGGATTATGAAGGTACATGATTGATTTTGCTTACCACAGGCTAAGAGAATCTCACTTGTTAGGGTTAAGGGATTGCCAAGGACCATGCAGGACATATAGGTTTAGAACTCATGGAATGTGGTCTACCAGTTACCATAGCCTGCCTCATGGGTGAGCCTTGGTGTGGCACAACCACCTAGGACCACGTGACTTAA